CTCAGGTCATCTGGATCCAGTCTTTTATCAGTTCCCAGAGTCAGAACCAGACACGGAGAAGCTGCATTCAGCTTTTATGCTCCATATATCTGGAACAAACTCCCAGAAAGCCTCAGATCAGCTGAAACACTCAGTTTATTTAAATCCAGGTTGAAGACTCACCTGTTCTCAGCTGCATTTGAATAAAGCACCAAATCCACACTTTAAGCTTAAATTTCAAAACTTACATTTAACTACTGATTTTATCTACTGTTCTGATTTTATCTGTTTTGATTTTATATACTGTTTTGTTTGTTTGTTTGTTTGTTTGTTAATTAGTTAGTTAGTTTATTTGCTTGTTTTAATCAATTTTAAATCATGCTTTTTATTTGTTCTTGTTTCTAATGTCTCTGTAAAGCACTTTGAATCACCTTGTTGTTGAATTGTGCTATACAAATAAACTTGCCTTGCCTTGCCTTGCCTTGCCTTCATGCTATTTATGCCAAATTCTGACCCGACCATCTGCATGTCAGAGCAGAAATCAAGACTCATCAGACCAGGCAACATTTATCCAATCTTCTCATGTCAAATTTTGAGAACTGTAGCTTCAATTTCCTGTTCTTAGCTGACCAAAACGCTCTTCTGCATTCTTTGGTTGCAACAAATGGTTGTATGAGCTACGGTTGCCTTCCTATCAGACATTTTTCTCTGACCGTTGACATCAATAAGGCAGTTTTTCCAAGAGAACTGCCTTTCACTGGATATTTTCTCATTTTTGTCACCAAAAAGGGTGTCTGTGTTACTTCTTGTCTTATATATATTGTCTCTGTTTTCCTCTGTCCTTTGTCAGTGTCTGTTCACCTACCCCTGTGTCTCCATATTCCCAGTGTTCAAGGTTTCCGAGTGTTTTCCCAGTTTAGGTTTTCATGGTTGGTTCTGTTTGCTACTCAGCCAGAATAAACAGCTCGCTCTTTTTAAAAGTAGGCTCCAGAATGGATGATGGCATGTTCGCATGTCTTTATGCAACACTGAGTGTGCTGAACTAAAGGTAGGCCTAGTTTCATTTTCATGGTCATTATTATCATGACAATGATTACGCCTTATTCTGATTATTTCTCCCTTTTGGAGATGTAACATTTACATGAGGGGTGTAGGAACATTTCCCCCTAAATATTTTTAGATAAATTTTTGTTGAAGTCACTGTTTTTGTCGTATTGATGATGCAGCTAGAATAAGTGCTTTTAAATAAAAGAATAACCATTCAAAGTGCTCAGTGGTGAAACTGTAACTCTTTCAGAGTTTGACAGCTGGACAAGTGATGCCGTATTTAAAGAAACATGAGATGAGTGCAGCATATTATCTGAACAGAGATCATTCAATGAGCAAGAATAAACACTGAAAGAGAAACACTTCACTGTTGATTATCATATGAAGTCTAATAAAAGCTGTTAATCTGTTAATATCCTGCTAATCTGCATACAGCAAATACAGAACATGCGACTTTAAAGCATCCAGCAAAGTGATAACTGTCCTCTGCCCACTAAGTAGTGACTCTACAAAAGATTATTTTCAATATCATCTTTATATTATATTTAGTTATTCTCCAGCGCAACAATGTAAGGAGCTCTGTGATTGGTTAGGAAAGGACAGACTGGCCACCTCGATTTTTCTTCCCTGCACATTGATCCATAGCTTTGCTCTGTAAAGGCTAACAAAGTGCTTTTGCTTTACAAAGACATTCAGCGTCGGTATTCACTCTTTTAAAATGCCACTGAACACTGGAGTGAAATGGAGCCCTGATCCTCAGAGTTTTATTGTTGCTAACATTTCTTATAGATAGCACAGATAGTGCCCCACTGCAGTAATCACTCATGTCTAGATATTCCTGTTAAAAAGGAGTTTTTCCTCCCCACTGTAACATGGCAAACATAGCAAACGGATAATCCAGCTGAAGCTTCAGACAGCCGTCAGACAGTGAAACACTGCCATCTGCTGGACGCGAATAACAAAGACGCTGCTTTGACGGGTGAGGGAGTTTCAACAAGTCTGCAACGACTCAAGCATCAAACTACAGAACTATTCTAGCGGACATGGTGCTCTAATGACTGCTTCATTAACGCAGGTCAGAAAGGATCAAACATATCAATAAATCATAAAACACAAAACGTCTCTTATTGCCCAGGGCTCAGGAAGTGAGTGTGTTCCTTATAGCCCAACACGTTCTCACTCCCAACTCGTCAAACGTGTGACGCATGGTCAGGCTCCCTCTGCTTCACTTATGGACCATATGGACCACCAGGTAAGACCATTTAAACGGACAGCATTTATAGAATGACTATTAAAAGTCAGCGAGTGTCAGTAATGTTAATGTGGTTATGTTAGTAATACACCGAGTGCTAATATAACAGCTTTAAGATGCATTTGTAGATGTTATTACGTGTTTTACCGTCTTTATGGTGCTAGCTTAAAGTTACGGTGTAAACGTTAGCTTATATTGGAGGAAAGCTGTTACTGTTTAAACGATGTTAGCACAGAAATATTAGCTTCTGTCATGACTGATGAAGTTACTAGTTAATAAAGTTTCCAGTAAAGTGTTTAATCGCAGCCACAGACTGACAGCAAATATCTCGATTAGCTTCAGTGCATCTGTAATAAATATGTGCAAGTTTCAGTGCTTCGTTTAAACTGTATGATACTTATACTGACCCAGGGTCAGTGTAAAATACAATCCTAGCTGTGTGAACAAAGCCTGGCTGCTTTAATCCTGCATGACAAACCTCAGGATGCAGGCTATTATTACTCTTTCCTGCTGGCACACCTGTCACACCTGAGAGTCAGCTAGAAACTCACAGTGACGTGGACATCATGCAAAGACTGCCAGACTCTGTAATACTGCAAATGATCAGTGACTCAGGTTATCACTAAACTTTAAACGGCACCTCTGTGTCTCTGTGTGCTGAACATCTAGGATTGAGTCAGGCTGCATTGACTGTGGGACTTTAATGTGTTAAAAGCAGGTTGAAGACGGCTCAGAAACATTTGAAGATTAAAATTTAGCATTATGGCTGCTGGTGGTTTGTAAAGCCTCTACTCAGCTGTATTTTTGTTACTAATTTATGTTTGTTGTTGTTTAACACAGATTTCAGAAGAGCAAATATGCTTAATAGTTTAACTAGATTTCATTTGTCAGTGTGGGACTGCTGAGTCACCTGAAGAACTCATTTCATTCATTCTCCACATGATGTTCATTTACAGAAATGTTTCACAGGAACTGATTTCTCCCAAAGGGTGAACTAGTGTGTTTCCATAGATTACCTCTGTATGAATGTACTTCTTAAATGAAGGCAAGTGTTTGTCCTTTTTTGTTCCTCAGGTACAGTACGTGATATCAAGGGCAGGCGGTCATCACTGGGGGTAGACAAGAAGCAGACGTACTTCCAAGAGGGAGCTGCAGTGAGGTCAGAGGTCAGAATCTGAAACAGCTCAGGTTTATATTTTAGAGGTTATAAAAAATCAAAATGTATTATTTAAAGAAACCTTTAAATAATAGTCATAATTATGATTATTATAAGAAATATCAAACATTTAAGTGGATTTTCTGTTACACATATCGTGTTAGCCCTGCAATAAACTGGCAGCCTGTCTTTGTCCTGTATCAGCTGGGATAGGCTTCATCCTCCTGCAACCCTGAATTGGATACATTGTATTCCAATTATGTAATCTGATCATTTACAAACTCAAGGTATCTAATCAAAATGTAAGTGATGCCGCCCTTGACAGACAGGGAGATTTTATTCCTCAAAGACCATCATCCAGTCGAAGTACTAGTTGCCACGTGGTCAGTGTTCTCACAACCATTGATTTTATCTCACAACTTGTTTTCACCAAAGAATTTCAGTAAGTAAATATTCTTCAATCTCTTTTTCCCCCCCAGTGTCTGCAGATCTGCATCAGTGTCCACGTGAAGAACCTAGTTATGTTGCCAGTGTCAACCCAACAAAAGGTACTTTACCTTCTTGTATATATTGTGATTCCTTTACTTTTATATTTGTTGTTATAGTTGAGTTAGGCAGGGCTTTTGTGCAGTCCTAAGAAACATACTGCCTAGAGTGTTTTTCACTTTGTGGAAGAGTTTCTTTATTTTTTTTCTGTTAGTGTGTGGAACTGAGGTGCTTCGTCAGGAGCTCCTTCAGTTGTTGGAGGATGGAGAAGAGGACGCAGCCATGACTTGTGAGACGTTGTCTGAGTCAGCTGCTACTCACTGGGCGATCAGAAACATGGTGTCCTTGCTAAAGTGGAAAGAGGCCAGGCCTTGTCTTATAGACAATATGTTAGCTACTCTGGATCCACAGTCACACCGTGTGTGTCAGTGTGGCAAACAAGTAGTTGTGAGGTGTCTGGACTGCCTGCCTCTTCCATTCCTTTGTGCTGACTGTGATATTGCAGTTCACACACGCTTTGTCCTGCACAGCAGAGAGGCAGTAACAGGAGGGTTTTTGCAGCCTTCATCAGAGTTTCACAATCCAATATGTACGGTTTTTAAGTCTTATGCATTTATTGCTATGTACTATGAGTGTGTGCTGTTATTGTATATTTATTGTGTATCATTTAATTTCCAATTCTTTTTATATATATTGTGTGTTTTTAATGTTAGTTCGGCTGTTGCCTGTGCAAAGACCAGACTGTGTGTGACTGCCCAGCAGGTAACGTTGAGGTTTCACCCGGTGCAATTGTGGCTCTTGTAACCATAAATGGTAAGTTGCTCTTTTGTCACACAGTACATACACAATAGATGTGTTTGCAGGTTTTATTGCAAATTGTACATTGCTACATTGTTTTGAATTACCCTCGGCCCGCAGTATATGTGGGCACCTGTCAAAGGTCATTTGGATTTACCAGACCGCTTTGAAAACAACATGGGAAAAAATGAATGTCTTTGTTGAGCCATGACTGGATTTCTCCTTATCCTTCCTAAAGGCCGTTATAACCTTGCACTGCCAGTGTTCAGCTGCACCAGCTGTGGCCTAATGTGGTCCCCCTCAGTTAAGGACTTCCAGGGTGGTGGATATTGGCCTGGCACCTTAAATTTCTGCACCCTGTTTTCAATGGATGTCTTTCAGTCTTTCTATGACATTAAGAAGCTGCAGCAGGGATGTCACTTAAGGCCTTTGTCAAAGTGCTGGATGAACGAACAGCCCATTTTGGAAGGGTGAGTTTCTAAATTTGTCAAGTTTAAGGAAATTGTGCAAATCAATGTTTATGATGACTGTCCGTGAATATTCTGTTGTTTGTCCTCTACTTAAAAGACTGGCCGAATATCAGCTGATGCCTTCAGCAAAAGTTTCTTGGAGTGGAGTGCTGTAAAGTGTGAGGTGGACAGGATGTGCAAGGAGCCATGCTTTAGCTGCCCTGCCTGCACTCCAGACATGCTCGCCGTCTCAGTTGATGGAAACTGCAAGCTTTATCGCTTTCAATCAAATGCAAGGTACGTTATGCATTGTGTACATAAATCAAATATGGATTTGTACAAAAATTGTATTTTGATGTTTCTTTTCAAACAACTGTCACTGTGTTCGTTCAGCACTTCAGAGCAGGGGAACTTTGAAGGTGTCTTCATTGAGAAAGATGAGGAAGTTGCTGAGTTTGTGAAATACATCCAGAGACACACAAATGATGTAAGATACACATATATATCAGTGCTGTCAGCGTTAATCTTGTTAAAATGACGTTAACGCCATAACCATATACTCATACGTGTGTGTGTGTGGATACATATTTGGATGGGTGGATATTTATTTTGTTTTTCTCTTGGTGTTGTCGTAATACTATTTACTTGACTTTATCTTAATGTGTACTTCATTTTGAGTAGCTCACACTTGGATGTGCGAGGTATACTGCAGCTTGTAGGCTTGGATACGTTTAAGACATTTTGTTATAAGGTTGAATGAATTCAGCAGTCATGTATTGTGACCTCCTTTCTATAGATCAAATGGGGAGGTGCGTTTCAGGATGGGGACGGTTCTACAGTTGGAGAAGAGGTGGAACAAGTAAACAGTTTCCTGTCTAGGGCGGCCATCACAACGAAGTACATGTCTAAAGCAGGTGTGTGTCTGTGTGTGAGATTCCACTCAGTCTCCTGCTCATTCATTCTTATTTGTATACTAACTGAAATGCAGGGCGAACAGACATGCTGAGCCTCCTGGCTTTGGGCTGGAACAAAAGGAAAGTGGAACAACTGGGCCGCACTTTGAGCCAGAGATATCTAAAGGTCATTTTTTCAACACCCATTTTAATGTGTGTGGTAATGGGGGGAAACACCAGTACTCTAAAAATGTCCATATGAATGACATTTATTAATGTATTCTTAGATCATAAGGATCCTTAGAGAACAAGTGGAGAGCCTGAATGTGAGCAGAAATGAGCTGGGTGTGGATGACGACACACTGCAGCAATGGGCTGAAGGTGAGTCTCAATATAATGCACTCGTGTATAACAACAGGACCCACCATGGCCTCATTAAAGAACTTAGAGTTAAGATCTTTCTGACAGTGTCAACAAACAATGAAAAATAAGCTTGTAAAAGCAGAATTGATGGCAGAGTTGTTGCGTTTGATCAAATTGGATTGGACCTGGGTTGAAGTGATGTCGTACTAGTTGGTTTTATAAAGCTGAACACCAACATACTTGTTATCTCATGATAATGCAGCACATGAAGGCTCCAGATGTCTTATAATGAATATCATCAAGTCAGTGATTACAGAGTCCACTGTAGTTTGGTGACTGTTACTCATCCTGTGTTCTGATTAATATTCCTCTCACTTAGAAACGGATCAAACTGATGGCAGCCTTGGAGCGTTGCAGGCACGAGTAGAGGAGCTTGTCGTCATCATCAGAGTGCGAACACAAAGTCTTTACAGACAAAATGGTGTCACAGTTTCTTTGAAACGGACCGTTTGATGCTCAGTTTGTACAGCTTGTACAGCTACTTTGTAAACAGAATAAAATCAGATCCAGGTTTGTTTAAGCTGGATGTGATTTGTTCTAGCAAACGAATTGATGAGTGTAGATTAAAATGTAAATATATGCATTATGTGAAGGTGTTCCTTTTTATGATTATTTACAGATAGCAACAAGAGGCGACACAGAATTCGCAAGGTCATCTTACATGAGAAGAAACGCTTGGCGGCTGCTGTTGACGACTACAACAAGGAAACAAGCAACAAAGCAAATCGTATCCAGTGATGCCCTCATGCAGAGCGACGTTTGGCCCTGGCAGAGCACAAGTGAACGTAAGCTCTTGATTTCTAAATATCCTTTTTAAACAAACTCCCAGTATCTGAGCAGCAGTTGAATGTTTTGTTCTTGAATCATAATATGCTGCTATGTTTTCCCATCTGATGTTGTTAAACTGCAGCTGCTGCTGACCTCCGGACAAAGAGAAAGGTCTTTGAGAAGGTGATGGCTGTGAGGCGCCTGAGAGAGGAGGAGATGATCCTTTGCAGGGAGATGCAGCATCACTGGACAGTGTTGCGAATGCGATCTGTGGTGTTGGGGACAATCTCCTCAGACTGTAAGCACATCTTTTATTTATTTATACATTTGGTGATGAATTGATTGAAGATAATAGCAGATGCTAAAGTCTTACTGGATCTTTTACCTATATTTGGGTTGTTAGCTAACACTGCCTTCTCCCTTAAAAAAAGTTTAATTACATGATCCTAACTCCTGAGGTTCAGGGTTTACGTGAAACCACCAATGTTCAAACACCTGAACTTTCCACACAGAGCACTATGGACTCTGACCAAACAGGCAGACGTTACCCTGAGAGAAATCCCAGAGCACCTCAGAGACTGAACTTATAGGTTTCCAGTTCATTTTGTAAGGAAAGCAGTTAAAATGTTTAAGAGGAAACAACCTACCTCTATGTTGTAAATCACTGAGTAGGTGTCATATTTCAGTTTAAGTACAATTATTGGGTTACGGCATTTACCTGAAAATATCTCGATTGTTTGATACTTATGTTCATCAAAGCTGGATGGGAGGAGCTGTGATGTATTTAGTAAAATCAGTTTATATTTTGTGGTAAAGTAGAGAACACCAAGCGTGGTGTATGTGCGCATTGATATGCCTGTGCCGTTCCACAACATGGTTAATAAAGTAAGTTACTAACAACCAAAAATGTGTTGTTACTTTACCAGTTAAGTTATAAGAGAGAACATAACAAACTGGTTGAGATCCTGGATTAAAGAGGGAATGGGAAGGGAAGAGGAGTACAGAGGACTGATTGGTCGGTTCGTGAGGTGGTGTGAGGAGAATCACCTGAAACTGAATGTGGCCAAAACAAAGGTGCTGGTGGTGGACTAATTGTAATTTAAAATGTGAAAATTTTAGCTGTCCTCCATCATTCTCCCTGAGGAGTCGAGTTACGGTGACTTTGTATCTTCTACAGGAGACGCACAAGAGCAAGTTTAAAAAAAAAACTGTAGAGGAAAATATGGCAAAGTCCCAAGACTTACAAAAGGAAGCTTATGCTAGACGAGTCCAGAAGTACAGAAACTTTGTGTACAGCGTTGGAGATGAAGTTCTTCTCTTGAACATGAAACGTGGAAGGAAGGGAGGAAGACTTGATCCAGATTTTTCAGGACCCTACACAATTCAAGACATCGCTGGCAAATGTGTGAGATTAAAAAACACACAGAAGGAGCAACTTTAAGAAATCACTACAGCATTGACCATATCAAGCCATACAGAAGAAGCCACCATGTAAATATCAGTGACAATTAAAAATACCCAACTCGCAGTCAGACGGTGAACAGCAGCACAGACCTGAAGATGCCTCCCTGCCATCCTACTGCTAACCCTCAGTGCCAGCAAAGTCCAGAGGATTCATTATGCACCCAAAACGGCTGACACAAGGAGTTTAATTGTGTTCCAGGACCAGAAACGCGTGAACAAGAACTTCCCTCCCGGAAACAAAGCTTAGAAAATGAAGGTGACATAGTGAACAACTCTTTTTGACCAGTTGGTCATTTGTTGCCAGTTTGGCATTGCAACTTAATTGACTGTTGCATGACTTTGTTTGCATTTTGCAGTCTTCAACTCATATTGGATGTAAAGAAACATGCAACGTGCACTGAGCTTGTGGAAGTCTGGAAATGGATCTGCCTGTCAGTAATTTTCTCTTTTGCCCACCCGCTGTACCTTTCCTATTTCTCTGCGTGTAAATGCATGCCTATTGTATTGACTTTTTTCCTGTTGTGGCCCGTCGGCCTTTACCAAGCGTATCCACTAGAAATCTCATGCATGCCTAAGCTAACTTATCATATTTTTCTTTTAGTAAAGAGGCTATGGCGTGCAAAGGATACTGGGCACCTGGAGACAGCTGTTGGACCATACAAGTTATTGGATTCCTCTTTTCGAACACTGCAGGGGTCACGGTGGTTTCTGATGAGGTAAGAGAACTTATCATTATTGAGTCTGATTTCGAGGTTCTGCTCCTTCTGAAGCATTTGCAGTGCAGAGACCATTAATAGTTTAAAATGTGCGAGTAGGTCGGGGGGTTTATATTGCAAAACTCTGATAAGGTTTCACCCATTCACTTCAACAGGAAAAAATGTTATCAACCACAACACAGATGTTGTGACATCTGTGACATCATAATACCCAGTTTCAGTATATGCAGAAAGAACCTTTATCAGCAATTCTATTCCTTTAGATGTTTTTGTGTACAGCACTCAAGCAGTTACTTCAAAAATTGTTGCTGTTGTTGTATAAACTCAGATTTTTCAAAACAGGTCATTGATGCATATCTGCACCGTGTTATTGACAGACGAAAGGTAAGTAAGAAATGTCATTTACCTACTAATTTTGAAATAAAAAAAACCCTATTTACTGTTCTATAACATTTTTCTATACTTGTGCAGAATGCTGCACACCTGCTCTGTTCAGTAGTTGCAAGCTCGTTGTTTTCTGGGCAGTTCAGATGCCTCAACTGGTATGTTGAAAGCTCAGAAGTGGTCCAAACAGTTGACTCCTTTCTGTTGCTGAGGAAAGAGTTCGGTTCCTTTAAAGAAGACTATATTTGAAAACACCCTGAGACGCATGGTACCTAAGTAAATCCAAATTACTCTGCACTTCCAATCCCACAGATGAAGTTCCCAGTTGAAGACGTGGCTGTGCCCTGTGAACTTTGGTACACACTGGATTCTTGTGGTATGTGTTCATTTTGTTATTAATTTGCATAATTTGTTGTGAAGCAGTTTCTTGCACAAAGTGTTATTTTTAAATAAGTTTTCAGTGGCACAAACAATTGTAATTTTTAATTTAACTTTTTCTTTAGATTGTCAACATTTCTGCACAGAAAATACTGCTCATAGACCCCATGGGAATGAAGGTGTTTATGACAGGAAAATTCTGCACAACTGGAGGTATGTATGATACTGAGGTGTTATTCTTAGATTAAAAAAAAAAATCTTGTTTCATTACAAACACTTTTGTTCAACTAGGAATTTTCTGAGGATGAGAGGGCATGAAGACACCATGGAGTGGCAGTTACAGACTATGCAACACAACAAGCGACAGGATTCCAGCAGTTGTGGAGTTTTACTGTTAAAGGTAACCCTTATTCAAATGATTCAGTTTCTTGTTAGCTAGAATTAAGACTTTAAGTGAATTTAAGTGAAGTGAAAGTTATTTCGGTCAACAACAACAAAGATGATCATTTTACATAGAAGTACTTAATCATACAGTAACTGGAAAAGGAATAGGCTGAAGCCTTGTGGCTTATAATTATCCTATCCTTTACCTAATTAAGACTTTACATTCTAATTATGATCAATCTCACAGTTTGCAGAACACTACCTTGATTTTGGAGAGGTCAGTGAGGTGTCAACCACTACAGAGGCAGTTGTGCTGGAGCGAATGCAGATAGCTTGCACCCTACTTGAAAATCGAGGTAAGTCCAGTAAAGTCCTTATCACGTTAGTGCGTACTTCCAATTTAAATAGTGCTTTTCAAACAGCACAGTACAAATAGTGCTCTTCAAACACTTTCAGATAAGACCCTTCTCAAAGTCTAATTTAGACTAATTTTCCAGGAAGTATATTTGGAAAAAATGTACTATTATTTTTTAATTATTCAATAAACAATGTTTGATTAAAACCTAACTATGATTGTGTTTCAGGGAACGCTGAGGACTACTGCATTGTTTGCTCCATGTTAGATGCTAACGCTGACCGCAGCATGATTGAAATGGTAAAACAAAAGAAACCACATAAGTCTTAGTATCATTACTTGCCAATCATAATTAAAATGTTGAGTAATAGTATTCACCAAACAGAATATGAGCCATTTATTTTTCCTTTCCAGGTGCAGTGTGAATCTTGCCAAAGATGGGCACATTTTGCATGTGAAAAATATAAAGAGAGCAACCAAGAATATAAATGCCAAAAATGTAGCCAGAGTCAGACAGAGACTGTGCAGAGACTGTAGAAGGACAGAGCAGCAGCAGAGCAGTCCAGATACACTGATGATCCTCTGTCAGATCCAGAGGGACACACAGGGATGATGCTGGACTCTACATTGTGTCTGACAGTGGAGCTGTTCTCAGAGCAGTTCACTCTGCAGCACTGACAGTCATCTGCACTTCTTCTCATTCCTCTGTCAGTCACTGCTGGATGAAGCTCTCCTCTCTACCTCCCAGTAACATGGCCCAGTCAGAGCGTCTCTACACACAAGCTGCTGCTGCTTCAACCTCTCTGGATCATCAGGACACAGCTCCTCCTCTCTCAGCACACACACCGTCCTGTTTACCATCATCAGCTCCACCTGCAGAGAGAAGAAGGAAGAGCAGAGGAGATAAACGAGTGTTTCCAGAGACTCTTCATCAGCTGTCAGTCAGTGATGCAGCACATCCAGTATAAAGAGCAGCAGGGACTTCAGTGCTGGGACTGTACTAGGACTCATTGTTGCTTCACTTTTTCTAATCTTTGGATTTTTATTGAAGTTGATGAAAATGTTTTTCCCTCCTAGTTTGAGTTTGGACTTTCATTCATTAGAAGAACCTTGGTGTGTCCACTCTGAGCTCTGTAGGAACCCCAACAACAAGCCCAACAATCCAGATGGACGGTTCCAGCTGTTAACTGGAGGAATTCCATCCAAACATCTGCTCTCACTAAATTCTTCCTCACCTACAGACTGTGTTCTTCACTGCTTTAAACTTGGAAATGAATGCAATCATTGGTCTGCGTGCTGCTTTGTTCAGAGAGCTGATTGGCTGTTGACAGCGTTTGATCAGAGCGTGTCAGCCGTTACTATGGTGACCATAAAGGTCAGAAACAGGAAGTGTTTGTGTCCAATCCTGAAGCCTGTCACCATTCTCCTCTCACAGCTTCACTGAGAAGCTGCAGCTTTACAGGAAACACTGGATCTTTGTTTCATACTGACTGTGTTTAGTACAATACTGCTGATAGCACCACACACTCACTCCATCACTCTACTGACCCCAGAGTCTCCAGTCTGTAGTCTGGACTCTGCTGAAGATCAGACAGCTGCTTCACATCTGGATCCTTCAGGTTGTTGTCCCACAGGTCCAGCTGTCTCAGATGGGAGGGGTTGGACTTCAGTGCTGCTGCCAGATAATCACAGCTGATCTCTGACAAACCACAGCTCCTCAATCTGTATAAAGAATGAAAGATGTAAGTTTATTAGACAAAGTGTGAGCTTGAAATCATTCAGTGTTTCATCATCTGTTCAGAGCTGAAGAAGGTTCAGAATGTAGAAGTTTAGAAAATGGAAACTCCAAACAGCTGAAGCCAACAGGAAGCAGCTTCAAACAGGAAACTGTGCAGAGTTTCAGACTATATGTCCTGATGCAGCCAGTTGGATTTTGGAGATTTGAATCTCTGTTCTGTGACTAAGTCCTTGAATCATTTCTTCCAGTTGGTCCAACAAGACAGACTAAGTGTTGGACATGTGTTGTGGCTCCATTAGGGGAGCTTCTAAATGTGATGTGATGGCCCCTCTGGGTCTGTCAGGTCACAGCACTGAAGAGAGCTCAAACTGGGCACACAGTTGTTCCAGTCTGGACCAAAGACTCTATACTGGGACTGAGGGACTGCTTTGACTGCTCCCACTGGGACTTTTTAAAGGCTCATGTTCTCACTTAGATCATCGATTTCTACTTACATTTCTTTCTGGGAAAAATGGGGATTACTTTGGAAACAGGAAGCATTTTCCCCAATAAGCAGCCCTGGATTAGTAAATCACTCCAACATGTTCTCAGGCAGAAGAAGCTGTCTTGTTATGAGGGAGAGAAGAAAAAGATTGAGGCACAGAAACTTGTTGAAAGAGAGATAAAGCAGCTAAAATCAGGTGTAAAAGTAAAGCAGAGGATGAGCTGAATAAAGGACACTCAAGGCTGGCTTGGAAAGGAATGAAGTCCATGGTGGGGATGCAGAACAAGGAGCAAAGATGAATGTGATGCTGAATCAGCAGAAGACTTGGACTCATTTGATTCCAGCTTTGATATCGTTGATTTCAATGAAGATCTTTGTGATTGTAGCAAAGGGCTGGTAGCTCTGAGAGTCCCACTGATGAGGTGTTTGTGTGGAAATCTCTTAGTGGGACCAAAGAGAGAAAAAGCCCTGGTCCTGATGCTGTGGGAGGGAAATGATTGAAGTGTGCTGTGAGGAACTGACTGGGAGGTTTTCACACATTTTCCAGTCCTCCTTGGAACAACAGGAAGTTCCCAGCATATGGAAACAAAGGTTAAGTGTCCTATGGCACTCAGTGATGATGGTGCTGTGGCCCCACCACCTCCACCTCTTTGTAAAGGAACTAACTATAATCTGAAGCTTCAAGTGGAACTAAGACTTCCTCCACTAGGTGGCAGTGTCTGATGAGAAAGTGTTAGTGGAGCTGGCCTGGAGTCAGAAACAGGAAGATGCAGGATTTGGACTGAAATGGGGAAACGTGGTTCGCACTAGTGCCTTAAAGCAAGAAGGTTGTAGGTTGAAGCTTGTTGGCCTTTCTGTGGAGGTTGGATGTTCTCCCACAGTCCAATGAAATGCTGCTTAGGTTCATTGGTGCTTCTAAATTGGCTGTAGGTGTGGATGTGAGAGAGTGCTTCTCTGTCTCTCTCTGTTGGCCCTGTGATGGACTGCTCACCTGTGCAGGTGGACCACGCCTCTTGCCCTATGACAGCTAGGGCACAGGCTGCAGCCCTGTGAGCCTAAGCTGAATAAACAGTTAGCAAAAATGATCCATAGATGGCCTGAAATCCCCCAGTTAGCAGTTTGGTAGATAGCTATGACATGCTAATCCCATCCAGCAGCTGTATTCTACCTGTAAGCTGATCCCTGCTGAGCCAAAGCACTTTTTCATATACAAATTACAACCTTTAATAGAAACCTATTGGTCAGCATCTTATTAGCCTGCTGTTAGCTTCATTCCACAGAAAACTGAGAGAAACTAACAGAGTTGATAAAGAATAAAGAGAAATGTGCTGATTTAAAGCCTTTGAAGTGCTTCAGATGATCTCTGTCCGCTTCTGTCCACTCATTCATTCATGTAAGCTTTCTAATGCAGCTTTGATCTTCACAGTCTGCTTCATGAAACTCATTCTAACCCTGAATGTCAGAGTGTTCCTCCTTCTCTTTCCCATCATTCATGCTGGCAGTGGAGGAGATTTGGATGTTGGACTGTGTTTTGGATGATGTGTGTATGTTTGTGTTGGACTGCTGTCTGTAAAGCAAACGCACATTTTGCTTTGGATTTCAGTGTCAGACAGACTTTAAGGTGGAATGAAGAGTTGGAGAGTTTCACAGTGAATTATCCAGTGGAGGATTTTTCTTCTTCTTTGAAGGTTTGAAATGTGAACATTGTTCTGCTGCAGTCAATGGACTAAACCAGAGAAGAAGAAAACAGACTTTACCATGAAGATCCTCAGTGTGGATCAGTATAATATCAGCCTGATGTCTGCAGTTTAGTGTCAGCACAACTTTCACATCATATTCATCTCAGCACAACTAAAACATGCTGACTGCCCCAGAGTTTCAAGTCCACATCCTGGACTCTCCAGGAAACCACACAGATGCTTCACTCCTGAATCCTGCAGGTTGTTGTTCCAGCTCAGGTCCAGCTCTCTCAGATGGGAGGGGTTGGACTTCAGTGCTGCTGCCAGATAATCACAGCTGATCTCTGACAAACCACAGCCCATCAATCTGTATAAAGAATGAAAGATGTAAGTTTATTAGACAAAGTGTGAGCTTGAAATCATTCAGTGTTTCATCATCTGTTCAGAGCTGAAGAAGGTTCAGAATGTAGAAGTTTAGAAAATGGAAACTCCAAACAGCTGACAGAGTTCATACGCCTTTGTCAGGGTCAAATTCAAGCAAGACCATGTGAAAATTAAAACACATCATCCTAGGTGAACTTAAACACCTTTGTTCCCCTTTTGTTAAGACATAGAAAAGTACACCACACAAAAATACTGCAAAAGGAAACGGTCGCCTTATATACATAGTGTATAAACTCAAAATGCACATTTCACTTCAAATTAAGATTAAGGCTTTGAACAGATCACATAGTTCAGTTCAACATATAAGACTTTAAGAATGCACAAGCATCTACTTAAAATCTATTTAATTTATCATCCATGATATTATTTTGTACAATTCCAATGTATTTTGTTCATCTCCCTTAAATAAACAGGCAGTCTTAAAGTATGAAATATTCATATACAAACACATATAAATGTGTGTACTGTCTCAGTGGCTGATAGTACCCCACAGGCCTCAGTGTGAGCTTGAAGACATTTATAATGTTTAAGTAGTTTAATGTGCAGGTGCTGACGATAAACACATTTTGAATGAAAGCCGGGGAACTTTGGTAGCACAGAAACAAGTGGCTATTCTTTGTGACTATATGGATCACTCACAATACCATTATTTCACACAAAGGCACCAAATTAATACTCAAAAAAGCTGCAGCAATACACACAAATATAAACAGTACTTGGTGACAACTTTGCTTTTAGCCTTTAACCCTTCTTGACTACTTTTGATGTGGCCTCTATATTTTACCTTTAAAAACAGTTTATCTTGCCAATCTGTTATTTTCTCATTTTGACCAACTGTATCAGCACAATTTATCTAAATTCAGACAAAATTTAAAATACAAGTAGAAAGTGATATTTTGACTGTAAAAACCACACACATGTTTAACGAATCATCTTTATAACTTGAAATGCAAATAGAGA